CACACACACACACACACACACACACACACACACACACACACACACACACACACACACACACACACACACACACACACACACACACACACACACACACACACACACACACACACACACACACACTAAGTTAGGTCAATGAACTCCCAAAAAGAATGACAGAATGAAATTGTGATTATAACTACTAACTATATTTTTCATTTTTTGTTTTTAAATTTTCAAAGGCAACTTGTAATTTTCAGCTTGTAATTTGTAAAGTGCATTGAGATTATGATGGAATGTGTCACATAAGAATAAATCATCATTATTATTATTATTATTATTATTATTATTATTATGGTTCTTACCAGCTGGTTTCACAGTGGGCTGGAAGAAGAAGCTGCTCCCAGAGCTGGCTGTGGTCAGTGTGGCCAGACTGTCTGTCTTGACCAGTGTCTGTGGAGACTCGGCCTGGGTCTCTCCCTGTTCCCTGGCCCTCTCTGCCTCCCTGTCCTCCTCCTCTGCCTTCTCCAGCACTGCCCTCATCAGCTTGGTGATGTCTGCCGCAGAGTCATGTCTTCTCTGCAGGACTCTGTAAGAGAAAATTTGAGGAGTAAATTTTCTCTTTATGAGTCAGAATAAACATTTAGTCCTATGTTCTATTTGACATGTTACAAATTATTTTTCTTTTCTTTTCTAAACAGAGACAATTATTCCTATATTGCTAATTTTTTTTTTTTTTTTAATGCAGATTTACTGACTGACATGGTGCCTAAAAAAATAATATAGCAGCATATAGCACTCAATATATATAATTCATCAGATGCAATTTTACATATAGTACTAACACCCACACAGGCAAGCATACCTATACATGAAGGTCACAGATTGACATTTGAAAACCAAGGTCATTTCCACCACATGTTCTACAAGGTCCAGCTCTTAAGCTTGTTTACTTGATTTTCACTACAACTGGACGTAATATATCAATATAAACACTCACACATCTGGCCCTACCTCTCTCTAGCAAGTCTATCTTCCGGATCCGTGTCATCCCAAATACTCTCCTCCTCCATATCTTCTTCTTCCTCCGAGTCATGCATCTGGGAAGCTTCCTCCTGCTCCATAAGAGCAGCACTGTGGTAGTTAGCAAACAGGTGCTCCTGGACTTTGGCTGGAGGGACGTCCATCTTGGGCGGCGCAGGGGTCCAGTAGAGGCGAGACTCGTCACTCTTGATTGGCATTTGGGCACCGGAGATAAATAGGTCTGATTCATCAAACTGAAAGTTGAAAGTCAACTATTGAGATAAGCAATATCAATTTATATCTGCTGCTGCAGATTTATTAATTTTTTTACAATGACTATGACAAACCAGGTATAATGCTCACAATACTTGAATTTTTTAAAGCTGAAACTGTTCCTAGGGCCTGGGTCATTACACTGGTGAAAAACAATTATTAACAAAGCCACAACTTGCTGGGACATCAGCAATCAAAACTGTTTACATCAGTCTCAAAGGCAATATTTTGTTTAATATTAATTTTTTAGCCCATGATAGAAGTAATTTCAGTGACTTACTTATTCAGACTTGGTTATTCTGTCTTTAGATATTCCACAACCAAAATTATCAAGACAGATTAATGACAGCAATATACAGTCCGTGAAGTCACTCTATACCCACCACTTGCTGAGCTCTAGCCTGCCATGCCTCAAAGGAGTCTGGGTCTCCCTGCTGGGACTGTCCCCCCAGGGTGAGCAGGCCAGAGGGCTGGGCTTGGGCCCTGAGGTGGCCCTGTGACTCCTGGCCCTGAGCAGCTGCCTGGTATGCCTCCTCAAGAATTCTCTGTGCAGCTGCGGACTGTTCTCGTTCCATGTGGTCCCTCTCCCGGGCGCGGTCTGCCAGGAGGACTGCAGTGTCGAATGAGCTGGGCTTGATAGAGCTCTGGGAACGGCTGTGGTACTGGAGGTAGAAAGTAGACATTGTAACGTCTATTAAAATACCCTTGGATTCTGCTTGAAGAAAAAAAATTGGTCTTCACTTTTATATTTAGAATTTGGTATAATTCAGTTCAATATAAACTCATAGTAGTCTGCTTAAATAAAGTATTGGTCTAAGACATAAAGTGATGTCTTTTTTTTTTAGAAAATAGGCACAGCAATTGTACTGTTTCTCATTAATCTGCGTCCAAAGGATATTGAATCTTAGTTCTGCTTTAAATGCGGACTAAATTGTACATAACAGTACAAGTTTTATTTTCCTTAACTTATACAGTCACTTTAACAGCCAGTTTTACAGCAGAAAAAGCTTTAAGGTGCTCTTTCAAACCTAGCGTAATGTTCACACAGATGAACATAAAAAAGGAAGCCCTCACAGCAATAAATTGAACACAGATTTCTTTAAAAAGTGTAAAAAGTGAACTGCATGTCATTATTTCCCCATAAAACACATCTGCTGTGTGGTGCTTTAATTAGCAAAACCATAAAATACACTGTATACTAGCTTTCAGTGGTGCTGCTGTAATTCTCTCAGGAACTGGGACACAATCCAATGCCACATAAGTGAGAACAAATGCATGTGTATATGCGTATCTTTTGAATGTATGCTTGCAGATTCATATCTTATATACCAACATATCCACTGGTGCAGTTGTCTGTATACAATACTTGGCTTCACTATGAGGGCATGCATGCATACTGTGCATATAACCAGCAGTTCATCAGCAAACATGTTTTACACCAATGTAAGTGGGGATGTGTGTGTGTGTGTGTGTGTGTGTGTGTGTGTGTGTGTGTGTGTGTGTGTGTGTGTGTGTGTGTGTGTGTGTGTGTGTGTGTGTGTGTGTGTGTGTGTGTGTGTATTTGCATGCATGTGCGAGCATGAATGCATGCATATGCGTTGACACATCAGTATATGCTTCCATCAGTGTGCTCTAATGACAGCATGTCTACTTGCAGTAACCTGTGCATGTGTGTGTACCCTTACCTCCAGTGGTATAGCTGGCAGCATCCCATACTTAGCTGGAGTGTGATACTTCCTGCCCACACCCCTCAGGTGCTCTGGGAGCTGAATATCCTCCCGCGTGGTACAGAAATGGTGGATATTCTTACTCAAATCCCGACCCGTGGATGGCTCCTCCTCCTTCTGTGCAACAGGTGCCCATGATGAGAGGAAGGACACAGCAGAGGGCTGGGTAGAGACCTTGGTGTCTGTCTTCCCCAGGGTTGCCTTCTCTTGGCGTGGCTGGAGGGCAGAGGGTTGACCCTCGATGCTCACTATGTCCTCGTGGGTGACTGTGGGAGGTAACAGGAGATCTTCATAGGCCTGGAATGAGATAATAATAATAATAATAATAATAATAATAATAATAATAATAATAATAATAATAATAATAATAATAACATCAACAACAACAAGAACAACTACAACAACAACAACAACTACAACAACAACAACAACAACAACAGTAAAAATCCATTCAGCTAACATATGAAATATACATCTGAAACTGATCTCTGTCACAAGGTCTTAAAATTAAAGCATTGGTTAAAAACACGTTTAACATAGAAATACTATAAATTTCTGACAAACATTAAAATTATTAGTAATAATTAAAACTTGAACCCTCTGACAGGATAATTTTTAAAAATATCTTAATCCCCTTTATCAAAACTTTATACTCTGTTCAGAGCAGTGCCATATTGAAGGAAAAAATCCTCACAAATTGCAAACACATTTCTTATTTGAACATCTTATTTTAATTCTCTTTTTTAAAGATTCATGATTTTCAGTTACTAATATAACTTTCTATTTGATGGAAAATCAATTTTGACAAGAAAGGACAAATACTGGATCTTACAATGATCAGTGGCAGAATTATAACAAACTTGTTTAATTTATTTATGAAGCAGTGGTAAAAAGCCTGCATAAATAGACAAACACTTAATATGCTAGTATGGAAGCTCTTCCTACACACTAATGCCATCATTATGTTACTCTGTATGTGTACCATTGTATGCCTTTCCCCTATTCTTTTTCTAACCTCAGAACATTTACCCGAGATAAATATTTAATATATGATATAGTGCTCCCACTTCCTGAATGCTGGGTTTGATACAAAAAGTGACACCAAGCAGTCTTTAACATTTTCATTTAACTCAACACAGTGGCAAAGGATAGGCTTCACTTTCTATCTCTTCATTAATTAAGCAAATAAGATATTCATCAGCATTAAAAACAACCCATATCTTTGTTAATTAATACCACTACTCACTAATTTAATAACAAAACTGCTTCATTACCTCTAATGGTAAAAGAAACCATGCCACAATAATAGCTTTTTGTACAGACAGTCTTCCATAACAGCCAAAATTCTCAATAAAGTTTTTTTTTTTTTTATTAATGTGGACCTCTAAACCCCTTTTAATTTAAGTAGTTCCAACTTGAGAAATGGCATAGAATCAAAATCAAATTTTTATTTGGAGTGAACAACTTTTGAAATATCCCCCCAAACACCCTGCCTACAGGCCTTGGGCAAAGCAATAAATGTTTAAACAAAAAAAAAAAATCTCTTAAATGTGTAAAACATTGACTTTTTAGAACATTTAAGTATTCTTAAGCATGCCTGGCAAAGGAAGAAATATGGACTTGAACACTTTGAAGTGACTATCACCTGACCAATATTCCTATAATTTTCACATTTAATCCCTCGTACCCTTATTCCCGTGTATAAATCAAGGAAGTCACAGAGTACACTGGCAATTGTTTGAGTACAGAATGCCATGTTAATCTGAATTGTGAACAAAGGATTCATGTACATACATGGTATACAGTAAGTGCACAGAGGGCAAGGCAATAACCAGAGAGAGAGAGAGAGAGAGAGAGAGAGAGAGAGAGAGAGAGAGAGAGAGAGAGAGAATATGTGAACAGACATGTAGACAGACAAACAGACAGAAATACAAAAAATGATAGAGAAGAAAGACAACCAGAAAGGAAATTAATTTTTTTTACTAAGATTTTGTTTATCTGATGCATAATATACTCAAAATTGTCTAGGTCAAATTTATCACCAGAACAATGATGTTTTCATCCTTTTGAAAAATGTAAAAAATCTGTCCATAGATAATAATGAGTTGGTAGTCTATTATTTTAGGACAGGAAGACAGGGGAAGAGGCAGAGGGGGTAGAGGAGGGGGCAAAAGGAATGCCACTGGATTCAGTCTAACAAATTACTGGTCATTCAACTCTGTTGTTTGTTTGGTAAATTACTGTCCTTATGTGACTTTGTGTTTGCACAAGCATTTCTAAAAGAGAAAAACAAAGCTACAGTGCCATGGTCCATTTCATTTACATAAGACATTTGTTTCCAGCACTAAAATGTGACTCCATAATAGTTGTAAATAATGACAAGACAAGGTGACACATTTTGTTTAAGTGGAACAAAATGAAAACATTACATATACAGTAAATCAAGCAAATAAAACTATTAAAGGGAGAGGTTTGTTTCAATAAATAAATAAAAATAAATAAATAAATAAATAAATAAATAAATAAATAAATCTTAAGTCAAAATTTGGACTAAAATCTTGGGCTTTAAAAATTTAGCTAAGATGCATTTCTCAAGGAGTGTAAATGCCTGCTAAATTTCACAAATCGACCACTTTTAATTGGGCCATTTTTAATGGCTTTTTTTACTTCTTTCATGACAATAAGTATTTTTGTACTAAATTAAATAACACAACTTACATTGTGTGCCTAGTAGTAATTAGGGGGTAGAATCTAACACTTCAATATTTACATTTTAACCATGTGCTTTCTTATTTCTTTTCGAGAAGGCTATATATATATGCCACATATTTCAACAAAATAAAACTGAATAGCAAAACAATTGGTGCATCTTAATATCAAATATTTCATCAAAGAAAATGAGGTACAGCTTATTTCAACAGTGTAGACAAGCCATATCATTCAGATATCAGTAAATGATGACCCGGGGACACTCAGTGCATCACGGGACACGAAAGCAGTTAATCATATCGTCTCCGCGTATAATTCACCACAATGACAGAGTCATCTATATCTACTGCACTGAGAAAGACAGGCAGTGATTTGGCCTGGGGCAAGTTTCACAAAACTATTTTTGCCCTGAAAATTGGTCTAATCTTTTTGACCAAAAAATCTGGTTTACTTCAGTTTAAGATAAATCCTTAGTGGTTTATCTTAGAAAGTCATTAGTCTGAAATAGAGCATATGTCTCTCTTGTTATAAAACAACATATTTTATTTAATTGGTCCATTATTAACTTATGTCAGGTAAAACTAAACTAAAATTTGGTCTTTAAGTCAAGACCAATTTTTGGGTTAAAAGTTCTCCTGTGGAGCAGGGCCCTGGACACCCAAGTCAAACTGTCACCCTGTAGAAGTAGAAGTCAGTGCAAGTTCATCATGAATTTAAGTGCAGAGAGTGACTTGACACCGAGTCCTGCCATCAGCCAGTGCAACAAGGAGACTTCATAATGTGGTGGCAAACATCAATTATCAAACACAAGATCACCACGCATAATGAGCACATTGTCACATGTGACTTCTGTTCTAGAGTTCAGTCTGCATGGGGCAGATGCGTGATAACAATTACTAAATCATAATGGAGGAAATAGTGGAAAATGCCCTTCTTTACATTTGTTGCACTTTAATGAGTGATCAAAACTGAATGACAATGGCATTGTGAATGTATTAAATTATTTTGATAAAAATTCCTGAATTAAGCAATTATAATATTTTGTTTTTATTTATTTTTGAATAACACAATCTTGACGTTCAGGGCCTAATGTTTGTATACTAGTACTGACATAACTGACAAGCATAGGAAAGAAGTAAAAAAAGAAGCAAATCCTGGATTTTTCTTGTCAAATAACAAATTATCCTGGATTTTTCTTGTCATCTGTCAAACAAAAACAAGGACATGCCCTCAAAAAGGGATATTTTTAAAATCATAATTTAGGGTAATTGCTACCAGTTGCATTGCTTGCTAGTTTTGCTTTTTTTTTTTTGTCTCCCTCCCAATTTCACAAAAAATATCAGTTGAAATCAATCGTCATTCGAATAAGTTTTCTCAAAAACTCAACCTAATTGTAGAAAAGCATATTATGGGTTTCATTTTGATCTGATTAAAACAGTACCCATAAAGCTATTATCAAACTATCTTCCCAAACAATTTTGTTGTGCCATTTTTCATTCACAATTCATTTTGCATTCTATATGTTTTGAATAACTTTTTCTATTTACCTTTTCATCAATGTTCTGCAAATTAATGCTCTTTCATCTTCAGTTCCCTTCAAGGGAATTAGTAACATTACATCAAATTACCTCTAAGATATGAGAGAAAAACTGTAAAAAAATTCATCAACATTCTTTTCCAGTTCTCAATTAGAAATTTAATGCTTTACTGTAGTAAGTTGAGATGTCTGAAAACAAAAAATTAAATCATAATCATATCTCATGAAGATGAGTTCATTTTAAAATGGAAAGGGGATTCAGGTGGTGATACTGTACTAAGACTACCAAATGAACCCTTGCAGCACTAGAAAACTCCAAACTGCACTAAGTAACACTAAAACTATGTGCAACTTGGTACAGTTATAGTGCAAACTAGTGCAACTTGGTGAAACCAGTGCCACAAAAATGTACTCAGTTTCTCCGTGTGTCACGCCATCATTCTATGTATCATACCAGCTTTTACTGGTGTAATTTAATTGAGGAGGGGCCAAAAAAGTTGCGAAGACACGCACACTCTTTGATAGGGCTAACACGTCATTTTTAAAGTCACGACAGATTTGCACCCGAATTTCAAACCATGGTGAATGTCTGCATTTTTATTCTGAATAAGCATGAAGATGTTATCTGTAAGTATAATACTAGATTTTGTTTGACAATGAGATATGACTTATATATAGAAAGTCTACTATTATAACCAACATTAAACAAAAAATGTTTGGAAAAAATCTTTTTAATAGGGAATTGTTTTATTTCTACTAACAAAAAAATCAGACTTGCTAACTGCAACTTGACAGATAATGTTAACAAAATTTGTAAATATCCATACTGCAGGAATATTTCATTTCCCATCCATTGTTTCAACAAATCAAAACACTTTCAGAAAATTATGCAAGGACACTGAGAATAAATAAATTATGTTACAGTAAAATCTTTTACTTTTATAATTATGGTCAGCACACCTGTCTATTATTATCAGAGATAATATAATATAACAGACTATGTTGACTAAACTGGTATTAAAACTTAAAGCTTCCTGAACTATCAAAAGTA